TTACCAAAAATTACCCCAAAATGACAAAAAAAAATGACACCAAAATTGACTGGATATGACCCAGAAATTACCCCAAATGACCCAATATGACCCATAAAGACCCAAAACTGAACCAGAAATGCCCCCAAATTACCCCAAATTACCCAATATGACCCATAAAGACCCAAACTGACCAGAAAAAAGACCCCCATTGACCCGGAAATGGCCCCAAATTACCAAAAATTACCCCAAAATGACAAAAAAAATTACACCAAAATGAACCTGATATGACCCAGAAATGACCCGGATATGACCCAGAAATTACCCATAAAGACCCAAACTGACCCCAAAATGACAAAAAAACTACCCCAAAATGGCCCGGATATGACCCAGAAATGACCCCAAATTACCCAATATGACCCATAAAGTCCCAAACTGACCCGGAAATGACACAAAATGACCCGGAAATGACACAAAATGACCAAAAATGACCCCAAAATGAACCGAAATGTCCTCAAGATTCAAGTCCAGCTGCTTCAATTGGAGCTCAAAAAACCATTTCAGAAAATATATATTTTATTTGATATATATACATTTGACCATATATATACATATATACCTAAGTGTTAACAATTCATGTCTTTGTCTCATTTGCATAATTCAGGAGCAGTGGAGGAACAATTACTGGAATAATGTTCTTTTAGAGACAAAACATGAATAAAGACAACAGACTAAACATGTTCAGAACTATAAAAGAAAGTTTTCAAAGTCCATTTTAAATAGATAGATAAAGAGCAGCTGTGATCATTTAGAATTTTACTTCTTTCAAGTCCATTTTTGCTGGTTTTGGATGAAATCTTTATCTTTTTGTATTCAATAATCATCATGAACTGAAAGCTTTTCATCACTTTAAGAGTTCTATCAACATTCTTTGAGTTTTTGGCCAGTTTTCATTAAACTGGTTTAGAAAACTCCTGTATATTGACACATAATCCACATTTCTACTTAAACATTTATGTAAACGGAGAAAAAACAACCACATTAAATCTGTATAAGACCAAAGGACGAATCCACAAGACACAGAGAGCCAAACGGGAATTAAATAAAAGAAAAATAACACATTTTCC